TGATTTTAGCAAATGGCTGCAATATAACAAAGAGTGAAAAATTTAAGGGGGTCTGAATACTTTCCGTACCCACTGTATAATGATGAGGCCTTGGAAAACAATCTAATAATGTGTTTTATGGATTCTCGTCCGTGAAATGTGCCATTTCCGGTATTTTGCCGGTTAGTCGACGCAGGCAAAATGAAGTCGAGGATTTTAAAAAATCGAATAGTCGAATAGAATCGACGAATCGCGACAGCCCTAATATACAGTGAAAGAGTGAGAAAAGCTGCTTTATAATAATAATAGATATTTAATCACAAATGTCACAAATACATAATCACAAATGTCTGACCAAATTCTGCAACTCTACAAACAAGCACAACACACCTGTATTTGAATTTTTAATCAGGAAAAAAAATCTCAATTCCCCTCCAAAATAAAATTTTTATTATAATAACTATAATAACTATAACTATATACTAACTATAATAAACCTAAAATCTGATTGGTGTTTCAAAAGTTTCAGTACTGTTCCAGGACCAACAAGTGTGTTAGGCAACTTGTCCTGTTTGGGTAAATGATGGATCCAGTGTGTTTCATATGTCCACACAGATTTGGCCACTCCGTCACGCTCCAGCTGGGATGAGGATGACAGTGGATTTGCCAGCTCACGCCACTCTCACTGGGAGAGCCCGTCTCCTGCCCCCAAACACTGCTCCGAGCGCAGCCAACGCTCAGTCCGCGACAGTGAGAGGAGAGACAGGTGTGAATCACTTCATCAGAGCCTCAGTGATTAACGTTGAAGGTTATTTGTGCTGACGTGGTTTGTGTTGTCAGAAGAAGTATTAGTAGATGTTACTTTTGTTGTTCAGGTCAAGTAAACCTCAGTATCCAGCAGAAACTCCTCTACCAACCCCATCATATAAGTACAACGAGTGGGCCAATGACAGGAAGCACCTAGGCTCCACTCCACGCCTGTCCCGAGGAAAAGGTAAATACACCACTTTTGGTGGAGAATGTTGTAATTTTGTATGTGAATTTTTGTTTTTTTGTTGTTGTGTGTGTGTGTACTACTTAACTCAAATGTTTGCATTTATATTTTGAAACTACTGTTTTTATTTGGTATATATTGATTGATTGATTGGAAATTTAAAAGTAAGTTACTTCCCAAAGTCTAGATTTAATGCCTTTTTTTAATTGTCTGTTTATTTGCTTTTTATTATTAATAATTTCCTTATGTATTTTATATTTTTATTTACTTAAGAATATTTTTTAAATATTTTTTTTTTAAATAGAATTCCTAATACCTAACATCTTAAATATCAAGAACGTATTAAGCCAATGATTAACGAACATGATTAATTTGAATATGCACATGTATCATATATGCACTACCGTTCAAATGTTTGGGGTTGGTAAGATTTATTTTATTTTTTTAGGAAATTAAAACTTTTATTCAGCAAAGGTGCAATTAATTGATACAATTATATATTGACAATTGATTTTTTAAAACTTTCTATTCATTAAAGAAAAATAATAAGGCTGAATATATTCAACTAATAAGAAGGAAGGTTTATTAAGCAACAAATCAGCATATTGGAATGAATTCTTAACCTTGATTTCATCATTTCTGAGTAATGATGCTAAAATTTCAGCTTTGCCATCACAGAAATAAACAAAATTTTAAAATAGAAAACCGTTAATTTCATCGTAATGCTATTTCACAAAATTTCAATTTTTTATTCTTTTTCATTAAATTAACACAGCCTTGGTGAAAAGACTCTTCTTTCAAAAACAAAAATCTTACCATTCTTACTGAATCTTTTTGAACAGTAGTGTACAGCATCTATAGTGTTATATTTATCTGGCCTCTTGTTTTGTAGGTGATAAGAGGGAGGATAGAGAGGACGGCATCCTATTTAATAATGAAGATGAGAAGGAAGAGTGGGAGGAAGATCAGAGGGTGAGTGCTTAAACCTAATGCAGTCATTTTCCAAATGCTCTTTTTATGTTCTTAGGATTCCTAATATATGTTCCTGATCTTAATGTGTGTGACTAATAAGCACATACAAGTGCATCTCAATAAATTAGAATGTCGTGGAAAAGTTCATTTATTTCAGTAATTCAACTCAAATTGTGAAACTCGTGTATTAAATAAATTCAATGCACACAGACTGAAGTAGTTTAAGTCTTTGGTTCTTTTAATTGTGATGATTTTAGCTCACATTTAACAAAAACCCACCAATTCACTATCTCAACAAATTAGAATACTTCATAAGACCAATAAAAATTTTTAGTGAAAAATTTTAGACATATATGTCGCACTGTACAGCCCTGCTCATAAGGCTGCGGTTCTCTCAGTTCGTTGTGCATCTTTTTTTCCACACTTTTTCCTTCCACTCAACTTTCTGTTAACATGCTTGGATACAGCACTCTGTGAACAGCCAGCTTCTTTGGCAATGAATGTTTGTGGCTTACCCTCCTTGTGAAGGGTGTCAATGATTGTCTTCTGGACAACTGTCAGATCAGCAGTCTTCCCCATGATTGTGTAGCCTAGTGAACCAAACTGAGAGACCATTTTGAAGGCTCAGGAAACCTTTGCAGGTGTTTTAAGTTGATTAGCTGATTGGCATGTCACCATATTCTAATTTGTTGAGATTGTGAATTGGTGGGTTTTTGTTAAATGTGAGCCAAAATCATCACAGTTAAAAGAACCAAAGACTTAAACTACTTCAGTCTGTGTGCATTGAATTTATTTAATACACGAGTTTCACAATTTGAGTTGAATTACTGAAATAAATGAACTTTTCCACGACATTCTAATTTATTGAGATGCACCTGTACTATGTCAAAGAAAAACAACTTTTTGTTGTTTGTTTTGTATTCTATATAAAGTTGGATATATATTATATATATTCCAAACTTTGGCAATATTGTATTTTTTGCAGTCATGCCAATAATGCAATTTTGAATTGAATTGAATTATATCCAAATTTGTCCACATATATACAGTACACACACGTATATACACAGTCAAACCAAAAATTATTCACACCAGATATAATTTTTTATATATATACTTTTTTTTACTAGTGGGTGCAGGACACTATAGTTCATTCATGTAAGTGAGGATAGCAATAAAGTAAACTGTGACATAGTATACCCAAAAATTCTTCATACAGTGGACTACCAGTAAAATTGATAAATATTTGGGACCAAAAATTATTCACTTTGACACTTTGACCTGACCATGTTTTGCTTAACTATTAAATATATTTGTGAATAAATATAAATATATACATGTAAATATTTTCTAAATATATACTGTATGTGTGTGTATTTATATATACATAATAAATAAAGTTGGATATATATTATATATATTCCAAACTTTGGCAATATTGTATTTTTTGCAGTCATGCCAATAATGCAATTTTGAATTGAATTGAATTATATCCAAATTTGTCCACATATATACAGTACACACACGTATATACACAGTCAAACCAAAAATTATTCACACCAGATATAATTTTTTATATATATACTTTTTTTTACTAGTGGGTGCAGGACACTATAGTTCATTCATGTAAGTGAGGATAGCAATAAAGTAAACTGTGACATAGTATACCCAAAAATTCTTCATACAGTGGACTACCAGTAAAATTGATAAATATTTGGGACCAAAAATTATTCACTTTGACACTTTGACCTGACCATGTTTTGCTTAACTATTAAATATATTTGTGAATAAATATAAATATATACATGTAAATATTTTCTAAATATATACTGTATGTATGTGTATTTATATATACATAATAAATATACACAGTACACACACATGTATTATGTAAACAAAAACTTTTATTTTGGATGCGATTAATCGTTTGACAGCGCTAGAATAAACTGTTATAATGTGAGAAATGTTGAAGGTGTCTGAATAAAGGCGATATACACCTTTCATGTTCACGTTGTTATTTTGGCGAGTACTCACTGTGTTATGTTCAAACAGCAAGCTGATCGAGACTGGTACATGATGGATGAAGGTTACGATGAGTTCCACAACCCCTTGACATCCAGCTCAGAAGAATATGTGAAGAAGAGGGAGCAGATCCTACAGAAGCAGACCCAGAAACGCATCTCAGCGCAGAAACGGCAAATCAATGAGGTACCGATGCACATCCTCACCCATCTGCACCTTCAAGACCTCAACACCTGTCGTGCTTACTCACATGTGTGTTTCTCTTCAGGATAACGAACGCTGGGAGACCAACCGCATGCTCACCAGTGGAGTGGTTCAGCGTTTGGAGGTGGATGAGGACTTCGAGGAAGACAATGCAACCAGAGTACATCTGCTTGTCCATAACCTCGTGCCACCCTTCCTGGACGGGAGGATAGTCTTCACTAAGCAGGTACAGACGTCTCTAAGCATGAGTGTGCTTATTTGGGAGTCACCAAACATCTGAGTCCCTAATTGATGCTTTTGTATTCATTCTGCGACTCCAGCCCGAGCCGGTCATTCCAGTGAAAGACGCGACCTCAGACATGGCCATCATCTCCCGCAAGGGCAGTCAGCTGGTCAGACGACACCGAGAGCAGAAAGAAAGAAAGAAGGTGCACAGCTGGTTTTTATATTTCATTTACACCTCTCTCGCTCCAGGGCAGTAGTGTAGATGTCATTTGTTGTTGCGTTTGGTTCTTTTCACCTGACAGGCACAACACAAACACTGGGAGCTCGCTGGCACCAAACTGGGAGACATCATGGGAATCAAGAAAACCGAGGAGGACGGATCAGATGGAAAAGCTGTTGGAGAAGATGGAAAAGTGGATTACAGGTTAAATAATGTCACATATATATATATATATACACAGTGGGTATGGAAAGTATTCAGACCCCCTTCAATTTTTCACTCTTTGTTATTTTTTATTTTTTTCTGATTCCATCTATTTTAAAATATTTCACAAATTTATTTCACAGTATATCTCTCAGAAGACAAATGTTTGCATTCATTCCCTCTTGTAGACACATTTGGTCATGATCTAGTTATGATACCATGATGCATGGCAAACTGTCATCACTACTGTTCAAAAGTTTTGGAAATTTTTGTGAAAGAACTTAATACTTTTATTTCTCAAGGATGCATTAAATTGATCACAAGTGACAGTAAAGACATTTATAATGTTACAAAAGATTTCGATTTCAAAGAAATGCTGTTCCTTTGAACTTTCTATTCTTTATAGAATCCTGAAAATAAAATGCATCATGATTTCCACAAAAATATTAAGCAGCACAAGTGTTTTTAATATTGAGAATAAGAAGAAATGTTTCTTGATCAGCAAATCAGTGTATGCTGAAAAATGCAGCTTTGCATCACAGGAATATTTCACAATATCACAGTTTTTACTGATCAAATAATTGTACTTTAGAAGACTTCTTTCAAAAATCATTTGAAAATTTTTTTAAATGGTAGTGTAGATATATTTTATGTATTTGGTATCAAGCATGTAGTTTTCCACATTTTTGCATGTTTAAATTAAGCTCTTTCCCTGAGAGCTCAAAAAACATCTGTAGATTCTTCATGGGCCTCTTTCTTATCTTTCATGTTTTCAGAGCGGAGCAGAAGTTTGCTGACCACATGAAGGAGAAGAATGAAGCGAGCAGTGAGTTTGCTAAGAAGAAGACCCTGTTAGAGCAGAGGCAGTATCTGCCCATCTTTGCTGTTCGCCAGCAGCTGCTCAACATCATCAGGTCCTGACACTCAAATTAATTCACTTATGTGCTTCCTTTAGAACAAACTCTGCCACCAAATTTGTGAGCTCATGTGTCTGCTCACCCGGTATGCTGATGTTTTTCTTTGTGTCTGTCTGGTAGGGATAACAATATTGTGATTGTGGTGGGGGAAACAGGCAGTGGTAAGACGACTCAGCTGACACAGTATCTACACGAGGACGGTTACACCAGCTATGGCATGGTGGGCTGCACACAGCCCCGCAGAGTGGCAGCCATGAGCGTGGCCAAGAGAGTCAGCGAAGAAATGAACAGTAACCTGGGAGAAGAGGTTGGTGCCTAACATCTTGTGTGCCTCGACCAATTTTATCTACATTTTCCTGACAAATATATTAATATTATGGAGAAATACTGCCACCTGGTGGATTTGCATGCAAGTGACTTGCATGTTATTTTACCCAGAAGCCAATACTGAGAGGATGTAGTAGTGGGTTATTGTCATTAACTAAAACTAAACTAAAACCATAAAAAAGTTCAATGTTATTCTGTTATTTGAAATAAAATAAATGTTAACTGAAATAATAATAATAATATAATTTTCATTTAGTTTAGGTTGAAGTACTTGAATAACTAAAACTAAAATTAAAATCAACTAAAATTAATAAAAAACAAAAATAAACTAAAACCATAAAAAAGTTAAATGTTATTCTGTTATTTGAAAAAAAAAAAATGTTAACTGAAATAATAATACTAAATAGTACTTAAATAACTACAAAAAAAAAAAAAATAATATATAGACATATTAAAAAATAATAAATATGTCAAAAACAACATAATTTAAACTAAAATATCACTGATGTGAATATCAATACACATTTTAGAAAAATAAGTTGCTGTTGTATGTTAATATAGTAATGCCATTGTTGATTTCTAGATCCATGAATGGCCTGTTGACCAAAAAAAAGTGTATATATTATAATATCTTGAAAATGTTAAAATTTTATATATAAATTGTAAAATATGCTATGTATAAATATGTATATGTTAGAATGATTTCTGAATAATAATGTGACACTGAAGACTGGAATAATGGTGTCACAGGAATAAATTACATTTTAAAATATATAAAAAATGGAAAATTATTTTAAACTCTAATAATATTTCATAATATTACTCTTTTTGCTGTAATTTTATTCAAATAAATACAACCTTGTTTCTTGAGCAGCAAATCAGCATATTAGAATGATTTCTGAAGGATCATGTGACACTGAAGACTGGAGTAATGTTGCTGAAAATTCAGCTTTGCCATAGCATAAATAAATTATATTTTAAAATATGTTAACATGTAAAACAGCTATTTAAATTTTAGTAATACTTTACTATAAGGCTGTTTTTACTGTATTTTTAACAAATAAATGTGACCCTGGTCCACAAAACCAGTCACAAGGGTAAATTTTTTGAAATTGAGATTTATAGATCATCTGAAAGCTGAATAAATAAGCTTTCCATTGATGTGACAATATTTGGCCGAGATGCTATTTGAAAATCTGGAATTTGAGGGTGCAAAAAAATCAAAATATTGAGAAAATCACCTTTAAAGTTGGCCAAATGAAGTTCTTAGCAATGCATATTACTAATCAAAAATGAAGTTTTGATATATTTACTGTAGGAAATATGCAAAATATCTTCATGGAACATGATCTTGACTTAATGTCCTAATTATTTTTGGCATTAAAAAAAAAATCTATAATTTTGACCCATACAATGTATTTTTGGCTATTGCTACAAATACACCCCAGCGACTTAAGACTGGTTTTGTGGTCCAGGGTCACAAATGCAGTCTCTGTGAGCATAAGTTACTTCTTTCAACAACACTAAAAAATCTAATAATTATTCCAAACTTTTGACCAGTAATGTATATTATTGTAAAACTGTATCGTTATAATAACAGCATTTTCCATGCCTAAGGTTTTTGTCTTTTTCTTTAATGTCTATACCAGGTTGGTTATGCCATTCGTTTTGAAGACTGCACATCAGAGAAGACTGTAATAAAATACATGACGGATGGGATTCTTCTGAGGGAATCTCTGCGGGAGTCAGATCTGGACCACTATAGCGCAGTAATCATGGACGAGGCCCATGAGCGCTCCCTCAACACTGACGTGCTCTTCGGCCTGCTCCGAGAGGTGAGCCATCTATCTGTCCTCCTCAGCCACTTTCACATCAATCCTTATGAATACTGTTTCCCCATAGTCAGTTTAATTGGTTTTCGTACACTTAATTTGATCGCTGCTTATATGGATAGTTAAAGAGTACTGTTGAATTTAGATTTTGTTACTGATGAGTCATCCCTTCTTCCTTTTTATCAACCTGGCTTTTTGATTACTTAGGTGGTGTCTAGACGCTCAGACTTGAAGCTCATTGTCACATCTGCCACCATGGACTCGGACAAATTTGCAGGATTCTTCGGCAATGTACCTATTTTCAACATTCCCGGCAGGACGTTCCCAGTGGATATCTTGTTCAGCAAGGTGGGGTGTTAATCGCGTCTTCAGTTAAAGCTGAAGCTGGTTGGGGTGCTGTACTGACGCTGAGTGTTGGTGTGATTCAGGTTCCTCAGGAGGACTATGTGGAGGCGGCTGTGAAACAGGCTTTACAGATTCATCTCAGCGGGATGATGGGTGACATCCTCATCTTCATGCCTGGTCAGGAGGACATTGAGGTGAGGAGATTCTTTAGTCATGCAAATGATGTTATGAATGGAATTGCAATTTATGTACACTATTAAAAATATATATATACGCTTCCGTTTTCATTGATCAGAAATACAGTAAAAGCAGTAAGATTGAGAAATATTATTCGTTTAAAATAAATTTCTATTTTTTTTTAAATATATTTAAATTTTTAATTTATTCCTGTAATGGCAAAGCTGAATTTTCAGCATCCTTACTCCAGCCTCAGTGTAACATGATCCTTCAGAAATCATACAAATACAACAACAACAAATCTTTTGCTGCTTAATATTTTTTTTCAGGATTCTTTGATGAATGGAAAGTTCAAAAGAAAAGCATTTATTTGGAATAGAAGTTCACTTTAAATGACTTTAGTGTCTCTTTTGATCAGTTTAATGCATTCTTTTTTGAATAAAATTTATTTATTTTCTTTTCTTTTTTTTAATTTAATTTAATTTAATTTAATCTTATTTTATTTTATTTTATTTTTACACCAAACTTTTATTTAAAAGTTTCCACAAAAATTCAAATAACTGCTTTCAACATTGATAATAATAAGAAATGTTTCTTGAGCATCAAATCAGAATATTTTAATGATTTCTGAAGGATCGTGACTGAAGACTGGAGTAATGATGCTAATAAATTGAATAAATTGCTGAAAATTCAGCTTTTAAAATATAAAACAGTTGTTTAATATTTAATAATATTTTATAATGTTTTTTAAAAATAGAATTATTACAGACTTTTTAACTTTTGACTGGTAGTATTTATGTGTGATATTCATATATATATACACACAGATAGATGGATAAAAAGGGTAGTTAGACATATAGTTATTGATATAGCTTGCATTGTCTAATGAGGCAATGTATAACACAAATGATGTTTATGCTGCTGCAGGTGACGTCAGATCAGATTGTGGAGCGACTGGAGGATCTGGAGAACGCTCCGCCTCTGGCAGTGCTGCCCATCTACTCCCAGCTGCCCTCGGACCTGCAGGCCAAGATCTTCCAGAAGGTAAACCTTGGTCTCTGTTGGAAACTCTAAGATCCTGATCATAAGACAAAGATGGTTTGTGAACTAAACCTGTGTGTTTATTGTCAGGCTCCTGATGGAGTGAGGAAGTGTATTGTCGCTACAAACATCGCAGAGACGTCTCTGACTGTGGATGGCATCATGTTTGTGGTGGATGCTGGTTACTGCAAACTGAAGGTAAAACCATGTGAAACTGCTTTCTTTAATAGGGGTATGGCACATCTGATACTAACAGAATTATTACTTTGTGTTGTTTAGGTGTTCAACCCTCGCATTGGCATGGATGCGCTGCAGGTTTACCCCATCAGTCAAGCCAATGCAAACCAGCGGGCTGGCAGAGCAGGAAGAACAGGCCCGGGACAGTGTTACAGGTAAGAACAGATCAGGAAAGATCTTTCTTGAGCAAAGGGGCACACGTAGTTTTCAGTTTATGGCAATGGTAAAGTTTAGAGTGAGTCAGACTTGGAAGTGTGACAGATTAACAAAAAAGAAATAATGTAGAGCGGTACTTGGTTCTGTCCATGAACTGTTCATTGGATTTTGAGATGTGGGCATTTCACTCAGAGTGGAACGTGAGCTTGCACAGGAACTAAATGATTGGAGAAGTCCTGCATACGTCACCAGAGAGAAGTCTGTGGTTTTCACAGGAAAATCCAGTTAGGATCATTTGATGAAAAATTCTGAGCTCAAAAAACGAGAAAGTAAAACACATGCATGGATATATTTTTATTTCATGATGACTTTATGGCGAAACTTGAGTGATGAAACAGCAAGTCATTTTTTTGATCCGGTACTTTGGAACGAATCATCCAAATGAAGCGAATCGCTCAGGTGTCTCTGTAGTGTAAATACAGACTCTGGCCTCTCTTTGCTCATACAGGCAGATGAATCAGTCAGGCAGGGCGACTGCAGGAGGGGGACGGGACGGTAATCTTGAGAGGATTTCACGCAGTTTAATTTTTGTTTACACCTCTGAGAATGTGAGACAAAGGCTCCTGTGGGCTTTTTGACTGTGACCTTTTTCAAATCTGCACAGTCCTGAAGATGCGGCGACACGCTGTCTCGCTGTTGTGCGGTCACACAAAGGAAACTCACGCAGGGGGTTGTTTTGCCTCCCTGTGAGTGTCTTTGGCTGCTCGTGAAAGTGTGTGGATTTTGCCGGATTAGTTACATATATCCTTTACCAAACATCTGTGCATCAGGAATCAATTCTGTTCAGCCAGACGCTTTGTAATGCAGCCAAGAGCCGTGTGTATGTGTGTGACATGCGTGTTAAATCTATAACTCAAAAGCTCTGAGTTGTGATATTTTAAGATGCTCAGGGGTAGTTTGGGAATGGCTCATTGTTATGGGCTTCCCCTCTGGATCTTTTAAAGACATTTTTTTTTTAATGGTGTGCTACATGCATCTGTTTGATTTATTTTTTTATTCTGACCTTTTACATTGAATAGGCTTATTCTGATTCTTTCCTAGACTCTCACCCACTTCTCTTTATTTTATTCTAATGCCTTCTTATAAAATTAATGATTTTATTCATCAGACTGCTGCAGTGAAGCAACAACATCACAGCCAGTCAGAACTTATTTAATGTGTAATACAGTTATCTGCATTGCAATTTTAACTCAAAAATACAAACTATTAACTAAAATATAAACGTATTTTACTATTATTTATACACTATTAATACACTATTTATTCATATTTGAATGAGATTTTTTTTAGTTTAGTTTTAGTATTTTAGTACATTTCTAAAAAAAACTTTTGAAATGTAACTTTCTTTAAATAAAAATAAGTTAGTTTTTTACATTTTCATCTCTCTCTCTCTCTCTCTGTGTGTGTGTGTGTGTGTGTGTGTATATAAAGATTAATAAAAAATATTCTTAATCAGTGAAGTTTTAATAACCCAAATTTACCCAGGGTTTTAAATATATGGTAACACTTTAGATAAAAAAAAAACATCACTATTAACTAAGAGTTTTCCCTCGATCAAGTCCTAATTTGCTGCTTATTAATAGTTAGTAAGGTAGTTGGTAAGATTAGGTATGGGGTAGGGTTAAGCCCCGTTCACACCATGAACGATAACTATAAAGATAACGATATTAGTGTCCACATCAGCGAATGATATCGTCTGTTTATTCTAAGCGCACATGCGTCTGCCGCTTTAAATTCTCGAGCTCGTTACAGCAGGATGGATTCTGATTGGCTGTCAAATTTTTATCGTTCATCAGCTGGAGAAAAATCTTGTTGAAAGTGATTCCAACTATATCGTTTCTCTTTGTCTTTATCGTTATAGTTGTGGTGTGGACTCTGCTATTCTTTAATATTGAGAACGATTTTTAGAACTATAACTTTATCATTATCTTTATAGTTATCGTTCTTGGTTTGAACGGGCCTTTAAAGGATCTATTATATGGTCATGCAGAATAAGGCATTAATATGTGCTTTATAAGTACTAATAAACCGCAAATATGCTAGTAAAGTGCATGATAATAAGCAGCTAGTCAGTAGTGAATAGTGTTCCCTAATCTATGGTTAATAGTTTGGAAAAATCAAGATTTTTTTTCATATAAATTGTAGAAGCCTCTTATGCTCACCAAGACTAAATTGATTTAATCAGTAAAAAATATTGATGAAATATTATTATAATTTAAAAGGTCTGTCTGTTTTCTATAGTGTGTGAGCTCCCTAACAAGAAATACCCTGGATTTTTCTCTGACCTCTGCGTCACATTGGGTTTGGACATGTTAAAATGTCTATAGCAAATGAATTGACCTCTCTTACCTTTTGTGTTGGTCCACTTCAGGTTATACACTCAGAGTGCCTTCAAGAATGAAATGCTCACCACCACTATCCCAGAGATCCAGCGCACTAACCTGGCCAATGTTGTGCTTCTGCTCAAGTCACTGGGAGTTCAAGATCTCCTGCTCTTCCACTTCATGGACCCGCCGCCTGAAGACAACATGCTGAACTCCATGTACCAGCTGTGGATCTTGGGAGCGCTTGACAACACAGGTGAGACTACCAGCTTCAGACACTGCCCTGAGAAAGAGAATCAGCGTAAGACCATTTAAATCTTTGATTTATTTAAATTTTATTTTGGGTGTCATTTAAAGTGAAATAGAATCTTTCAAGTCAACAAGAAAATCAAAATGGTTAATTCTTAGTTTTTATGGAATATTGGAGTATTTGTTATAAATAATTTATCCATGCATGTAATTTTTAATCAAAAGCATTAACCGTAATGGCCAGACAAGTTTCAGTGCTTCCCTTCCATCAACCTGTCACTCACATGATTGTCAATTTTGCAACGCCCACTTTCTATGATCCAATCAGTTCCCAATGGACAAAATTAAGTCCTAGCCCTACATGTTTTTATTTCTCTTTCGATGAGACTTTCACTCATTTATACGGCACAAGATATCGTCTGTTTATTCTAAGCGCACATGCGTCTGCCGCTTTAAATTCTCGAGCTCGTTACAGCAGGATGGATTCTGATTGGCTGTCAAATTTTTATCGTTCATCAGCTGGAGAAAAATCTTGTTGAAAGTGATTCCAACTATATCGTTTCTCTTTGTCTTTATCGTTATAGTTGTGGTGTGGACTCTGCTATTCTTTAATATTGAGAACGATTTTTAGAACTATATCTTTATCATTATCTTTATAGTTATCGTTCTTGGTTTGAACGGGCCTTTAAAGGATCTATTATATGGTCATGCAGAATAAGGCATTAATATGTGCTTTATAAGTACTAATAAACCGCAAATATGCTAGTAAAGTGCATGATAATAAGCAGCTAGTCAGTAGTGAATAGTGTTCCCTAATCTATGGTTAATAGTTTGGAAAAATCAAGATTTTTTTTCATATAAATTGTAGAAGCCTCTTATGCTCACCAAGACTAAATTGATTTAATCAGTAAAAAATATTGATGAAATATTATTATAATTTAAAAGGTCTGTCTGTTTTCTATAGTGTGTGAGCTCCCTAACAAGAAATACCCTGGATTTTTCTCTGACCTCTGCGTCACATTGGGTTTGGACATGTTAAAATGTCTATAGCAAATGAATTGACCTCTCTTACCTTTTGTGTTGGTCCACTTCAGGTTATACACTCAGAGTGCCTTCAAGAATGAAATGCTCACCACCACTATCCCAGAGATCCAGCGCACTAACCTGGCCAATGTTGTGCTTCTGCTCAAGTCACTGGGAGTTCAAGATCTCCTGCTCTTCCACTTCATGGACCCGCCGCCTGAAGACAACATGCTGAACTCCATGTACCAGCTGTGGATCTTGGGGGCGCTTGACAACACAGGTGAGACCACCAGCCTCAGACACTGCCCTGAGAAAGAGAATCCACATAAGACCACATTAACCTTTCGTTTTTACTTACTGTCCTTTTGCCACATTTTATTCAAAGGTACAGTCAAGAGTGAATCTGTTCTGAGTAGTGGTCGACCGATATATCGCCAAGGCCGATATATCGGCCGATATCTGGCATTTTTCAAATATCGGCATCGGCCGATAAGTTTTTCTGTTTGGCCGATGTGTCAGAGGCGGGACTTTTATTTTGACGGCGCCGAGAACGGCTGCGGCAGTGCCTGAGCGCACACAGCTCACATACTCCCTCTTGTTCGCTGTTGTCATTCAGTTCTGTCTAATACGGATAGAAGTCTATCTAATAATCAGATAGAACTGTTAAACAAAGGAATTAAAATGTATACAAAAAAAGTATTATAACGATTGCTTTAATATTATTGAATACGGACAGGAGGAGAGTTCAGCTTCACTGGAGACGCGCGATCGACAAACTTTAAACTCGTGACTGATTTCAAATTATGCTGCGCTTTATGCATTTGCCCACTGTCATATTCATGCCATTTCCACTGTGTGCTGTATGTAAAATCAGTGTTACCTTGGCTTTATTTGAAAAAATATGATTCCCAATGCACACAAACTTCCCAGAATAATGAGTGCCCTGTTGGTTACAGTGTTTACTTTCTTTTTAATTATAGTTTGATTAAATATTTATTTATTTGTGAAAAATACTTTGTCTTCTAGAGTATAAGTATGCTTATTTTACACGTTTATTTTTTAATCCATTTTCAAATGATTTCAAATTTCTTAAATATGAATTAAAATATATAAAATGATATCGGCTTTATATCGGCCATCGGCCACCCTGCTTTCCAAAATATCGGCATCGGTATCGGCTGTCAAAAAACCCGTATCGGTCGACCACTAGTACCACTAGTTGAACTGTGCTGTTAGATATTGCGCTCAATAAATTATTTTGGGCATTGTTTAAAGTGAAATAAGTGAAATACAGCAAGAAAATCAAAATGGTTCATTCTTAGTTTTTATGGAATATTGGAGTATCTACAAATCTTTAATTAAAAGCATAACAAGTTTCAGCTTTTCCCGTCCATCAACCAGTCACATGAGTGTCTGTTTTGCATTGACCACTTTCTATGATCCAATCAATTCCCAATGGACAAAATCATGTCCAGCCCTACATGTTTTCTTTTCTCATTCGGTGAGTCTTTCTTTCATTTATACAGCACAGTTTTAATTTACATTTCATGCTGACTAATGTTTTTTTTTTTTTTTTTTTAGTAATTGTTGCACATGCTTCTCATATAATTTTTGAATTATTGGGTAATTGCATTTTATTGCATTATTTCAGTGTGCATTGTCAGCAACAAAGTCTAATACTGTACTCTGAAAACTTAAAATTGTGTGTTAGCTAAAAATGTAAACCATAAATAAACATGTTCATTGTTTGAAACAGATTACATTTAAATAAATTAACATTAACTGAAACCAAATCGAATCTAAAAACATGGAACTTATTTGATTTCAGCTAGTTCTCATTTCAGCATTTCATATTTTCTTTATCTTAAGTTAAAGTACTAAAATAGCTAAAGCTAAATAAACTAAAAAAATACAGACATTTTAAAAACAAAAATAAGATGACAACAAAATTACTAAACCTTCAATTAAAATTAAATGTAAAAAAGTA